TGATAATAGATATGGAAGATAGAGAAGATAGATTAGCACACTGTCATCCATATAGGGATACGATCTAAGATATGAGGGTAGAGGACCACAAATGTTTAGTTGAGCATAGCCTCATTAGGAGCTTCACATATCATGATTAAGCACTACAATTAGCTTGCACATTATTTTTCTTTTAATTATGTCGCATGTTTAACGTCGTGTACCACCCTTTACCATTTCAAACATCTCCATCAATTGCAACTACACATTTATATATGGCTCGTGAGTGGCTAGTTCATTTCCCATGATTCATACATTTTCTTCATGTCGTTGGTTTGGATAGCATTTGCCACCTATAGTTCATTCGTTTAGATCATAATCATATCACATCTTTGGTCGAGAGGTGATGTCCTAGGACTAGCTAACACTTTACACCTTACTATTAGAGAGATGGAAATTACACTGTAGGAAGTTTAAGTTCTACCTAGACTTAAAGTTGTAGGACCTGTAGTTGTTGACCAGATTACTATCAGAAAATGATTACACTAGTAGAGTTGACTTAATTATTGTGATGAGCTTCTAGTCACCCAGTACATAATACTGAATATTGCTCCCGAAAATGTTGATGTATAGGCTAGATGTGTGATGGGTAGTGCTCAAGTAGATTTTATGATACCTCTTCAGTGGGTTAAATAGACTTATTATAAAGTTCAATGATTTGCCACATGTCACGTTCCTTCAACATGTTCGTGTGTACATCATATTCATGATAGGATATTTTTTTATACCAGACACATCATGATCCCACATGTCATCAATACGGAGATCTCAACAAGCAGCTCAATGACATATATGTATGACCAAGATTGTTTGCAGCTTAGCTAGGTTCATTAAAGATTCCATATTTCATCTTCAAACTTATTATTAAAAATTAAATTACTAACCATATTCTTATGTTTTAGGTGAACATTAATCCATACACAGATGAAATTTTGGCCTCCCTACCAAAACAGTGCCTAGTTTCTAGGGAGGTATGGATGACATGTGTCTTGATCATCAGCTGGAAACATACATAATGACACCTACCTGATCAACTAATGAGGCAATTTAACAGAGTTCAATTCACTAACCTAGAAGCTACGGAGAGAGGGTACAAAAGAATAGATGGCTAAGGGAGGGCCGACATTGACTTGACATTTTAGTATCAGGCATACATCAAGCTATGGGACATCACTTATAGTTAAACTCAAACTCATACTAAAATTGTTATCATTCCTAGTTATTGAAAAACTTCCTCGGCTTGCCTACACCACGACGATCTCCGAGTAAATTTACCTTGGAGAGTAATGCTATTCCATGTCACCGACGACCATAACTTGTTCTTTAATTTATCTACTTATAAATAATAATATTTTTTTGACGAGTAATTCAGTTCAATTCATCTTTACATGTTTTTCTTTACACATTTTACATAATATTGAAAGTTAAGGTGACGAACTAATCTTTTAAGTTATCCAATTAAAAATAATATAAGTTCAATAAGCTGCATTAACACATTACATATTAGCTTTAATGAGGATGGGGAAGAAAGCATGATACAAAAAGACATATATAGTACTACATAGCTTTAGTATTTCCTAAACAAGATATGTAGATGTATTTGAAGTTATGTTTTAGTTGGGCAACACTTAAAATTAAACTCAAACTCATACTGAAAACTTCCTCGACTTGCCTTCATCAGAACGATCTCCGAGTACATTTACCGTGGGAGTGATGTTATTCCATGTCGCCCACAGCCTAAGCTTTGCTCTTTATTTCATCAGCTTATAAAAAATAATATTTTATGGATGAGTATCTTAGTTCATTTTACCTTTACATGTTAAGCTTCTTCGCACACATTTTATATTTTATATAATATTGAAAGTTAAGGTGACGAACTAATTATTTAAGTTGTCCATGTATATATATATATATATAAACACTAGCGGAACCATTTGAGGTAGGGCTGTTTTGTAAATTTGCCCCCCCTAAAATATTTTTTGCCCTAATCAAACAAGTTTCTCCCAAATATCCCGCACAGCCGCCCTTTTTATCTCTTGCGACTGGCGAGCGACGAAGCGACCGAGCCAGAGAGGAGAGACTACCTTCAGGCTTCAACGGCGACGAATCTGCCTTCTCTTTCCTCTTCGACGCCGACGGCGGACGGACACGGACTACAGGCGGCACCGCGGTAGTGGCACTCGCCACTCGGCTCCTTCTCTTCGACGCCGACGGACTCGCAGTCTTGCTTGCACAGTCAAGTATTCCACATTTCCACAGTCATATGAATATCTGATTTCTTATTTTTGTGCTCCTTCTTGTCTCTTTTCTGGAATGTCTTTTTCGTGCTCTATTGTCTCCTTTCGGGAATGCCTTTTTCTTGCCGTGATTTTTCTCCGTCTTGATCTTGCCGTGGTTTGGTTGGAGAAATAAGAAAGGAGTGGTAGAATCCAATTTACAGCTAATTTTTTTTCCTGTTTCTTACTCCGTCTTGATCTTGCCTACATTTACAGCTAAATTTTTTTTTCCTGTTTCTTAGTTCTGGTTTGGTGCAGAGAACTAAGAAATTTTTTTATGTGCCGTGAGTTCATTTTTGTTCTTAGGGAGAAAAAAAAGTTCTTGTCTAGGGAGCTTTTATGTGTTAGACCTTTATTTGGTTCTTAGGAGAACTTCGGCTATGTACAAATTAGGAGCAAACACTATCCGAGCAAGATGAAGAGTATTTTTCAGCTATTTGTTATTTTATTTACTAATGAAATTTTAATAACACCTCAAATAGGATTATGATTACTTGATTAATTTGTTGGGGCACCTCAAAAATAGTTTGATTATTTGCTAATGAAACAGAGAGACGGGTTAGAACTTAGAAGAATTGCATTAAATCCACAATTATGTAAATATTTCATTGATCATTTTTAAAGATCAATATTTTCACAGGATATATCAAATGGAACGTTATCTAAAGAGTTGGAGACTGATATTAACAGTCTCCCAGCTGATCCTGGAAAGTTAATAACAATTCTTACGTAGTAATCTCAAAAAGATGCTTTGCATGCCAATGATTTTAGCTTACAGCCACTAAACAAAGTTGAAGTTAATGAGCAAAGCAGTGAACATAGAATGCATGTGGATTTTCATTAAGTATTAAAGCCTTCAAACCATGAAAATCCCACGCATATTAGATGATCGTCGACGAGCTTTAAATGTAGAACTCATAACAGGAACATCAACTTCAAAAACATTGCAAAAACGACTGATACTTCTTCCAATAATGAATTCCATCCATTATCTCTCATCATCTATAATTTTTGTTAGAGATTGCACTAACTTCATTGCATTCAATATATTCCTGATCTTTTCTTTGCAAGGCCTGTGATAATTCGTTGGTGACACCTAAAATCAATCAATAAGATGCAGAGCAAGGTAAAAATCAAAAGATTCCATAGCTTTATCAGAACACTAGCTTCAACAGCTTGCTGATCATACCCCATCTCTTGATAATTTCAAGAACTTCAATAACAGAAGCTAATTTTCTTCAAGCTAATATGTATGAAAATGTGAACCCCAACGGGTGTCACCAGCTCGATGTAAGCTTGTCTCCTGGTTCAAACCTCTATCACTGCTTAACTCTCCTTTAGAAAAATGAACTATTTTCTCATGTTGAATTTCTCTAAGAGCATCACTCCTCTTACATGAAGCTCCAACAGTATTAACAATTCTGCAGTAATCTCAAAAAGATGCTTTGGCATGCCAATGATTTTTAGCTACAGCCACTAAACAAAGTTGAAGTTGATGAGCAAAGCAGTGAACATAGAATGCATGTGGATTTTCATTAAGTATTAAGGCCTTCAAACCATGAAACTCCCCACGCATATTAGATGCACCGTCATATCCTTGACCTCGGATCATATGTATGCTCAATGAGTGCTTAGCAAATATATCTTCCATGGCTTTTTTTAAGGCAACTGCATTAGTCGATGCGACATGTTTAATGCCTATAAACCTTTCAACAACTTGACCTAAACTATCCACATATCTGACTGCAACAGCAAACTGTTCCTTTGTAGAAACATCGCGAGATTCATCTACCAAAATTGCATAGTAGGAGTCACAATATCTTCATGATTGATATCAAAGTTTCTGCAGCTGTAGTAGAACAAATTTCTTTTTGGACCTTTGGTGAAGTTAACTTCAAATTTGAGCCTGAATATGTAGATGAAACTTTCTTAATTTCATCATTATGATTAGCAAGAAAATCAAATAGCTCCAAATAATTTCCTCGATTCTCTGATCCGGAAGACTCATCATGACCACGAAATGATAACCCTTGGCGTAACAGAAATCGTACACAATCTACAGCAGCAGTCAACATAACCCTATAATCTTTTTTATTTCTTTCATCTTTGCTCAACCATAGAACAAGAAGACTTTGTTCTTTTGTCTTCATTAGATCTTCACATTTGTGTCTAGCTTTATTATGTGCACTATTATGATCTCCAACATGACTTAACAGCTTTTCTTTCTTCTTCCAATTTTTGAACCCTCTCTAATAAATGAGTCTCCCCCCACCTTGTCTGTAATAGTTTTATCTTGAGGTTTGAACAAGTGCAATACAAACAAAAAGTAGCATCTTTCTGCACGCTATATTCTAACTAATTAGGATATTCCTCAAACATTTTGGATTAAATCTACGTGCAAGATTGCCAATATTGTTTGAGGGGGAATGATGATTTTTTGGTTGATGGGCCCCTTCAACAGATATGCTTCCGAATTTTATCCTTTCATTTACATCGTAACACCAAATTGAAGGTCAAATTCAA